GTTTCTCACCGATAGTCCTTTTCACATGCATAGCTAGGACAGAGAAGAATTGATCTTCGATAGTTCTTCACCGATATTCCTTTTTCATGCATAGCCAGGACAGAGATGAATCAAGCCTGATCTTCGACAGATCTTCACCGATAGTCCTTTTCAACATAGCCAGGACAGAGATAGCCTGATCTTGGACAGTTCTTCACCGATATTCCTTTTTCAAATGAAGCTAGGACAGAGATGAATCAAGCCTGATCTTGGACAGTTCTTCACCGATAGTCCTTTTTTCACAAGCATAGCCAGGACAGAGAAGAGCCTGATCTTCGACGGTTCTTCACAGATAGTCTTTTCAAATGCATAGCCAGGACAGAGAATGAACAGCCTGATCTTCGACGGTTCTTCACCGATATTCCTTTTCACAAGCATAGCCAGGACAGAGATGAATCAAGCCTGATCTTCGACAGTTCTTCACCGATATTCCTTTTCACAAGCATAGCCAGGGAGAGAAGAATCAAGCCTGATCTTGGACAGTTCTTCACCGATAGTCCTTTTCACAAGCATAGCCAGGACAGAGAAGAATCAAGCCTGATCTTCGATAGTTCTTCACCGATATTCCTTTTCACAAGCATATCCAGGACAGAGATGAATCAAGCCTGATCTTGGACAGTTCTTCACCGATACTCCTTTTCACAAGCATAGCCAGGACAGAGAAGAATCACGCCTGATCTTCGACAGTTCTTCACCGATATTCTTTTTCACAAGCATAGCCAGGACAGATGAATCAAGCCTGATCTTGGACAGTTCTTCACCGATATTCCTTTTCACAAAGCATAGCTAGGACAGAGAAGAATCAAGCCTGATCTTCGACGGTTCTTCCAGAATATTCCTTTTTCAAATGCATAGCCAGGGAAGAACGCCTGATCTTTGACAGTTCTTCACCGATATTCATAAGCATAGCCAGGACAGAGAAGAATCTTCGACAGTTCTTCACCGAGTCCTTTTCTAAGCATAGCCAGGACAGAGAAGAATCAAGCCTGATCTTCGACAGATCTTCACCGATATTCCTTTTCACAAGCATAGCCAGGACAGAGAAGAATGAAGCCTGATCTTCGACAGTTCGTCACCGATAGACCTTTTCGCAAGCATAGCCAGGACAGGGAAGAATTAAGCCTGATCTTCGACAGATCTTCACCGATAGTCCTTTTCACAAGCATATCCAGGACTGTGATGAATCAAGCCTGATCTTCGACAGATCTTCACCGATACTCCTTTTCACAAGCATAGCCAGGACAGAGATGAATCAAGGCTGATCTTCGACAGTTCTTCACCGATAGTCCTTTTCACAAGCATAGCCAGGACAGGGAAGAATAAGATCTTCGACAGATCTTCACCGATACAGCATATCCAGGACAGAGATGAATCAAGCCTGATCTTCGACAGATCTTCACCGATATTCGTTTTCACAAGCATAGCGAAGACAGAGAAGAATCAAGCCTGATCTTCGACAGTTCTTCACCGATAGTCCTTTTCACAAGCATATCCAGGACAGAGATGAGTGAAGCCTGATCTTCGGCAGTTCTTCACCGATAGTCCTTTTCACAAGCATAGCCAGGACAGGGAGAAGCCTGATCTTCGACAGATCTTCACCGATAGATCAAGCATAGCCAGGACAGAGAAGAATCAAGCCTGATCTTCGACAGTTCTTCACCGATAGTCCTTTTCACAAGCATAGCCAGGACAGGGAAGAATTAAGCCTGATCTTCGACAGTTCTTCACCGATAGTCCTTTTCAAAAGCATATCCAGGACAGTGATGAAATCTTCGAGATCTTCACCGATATTCCTTTTCACAAGCATAGCCAGGACAGAGATGAATCAAGGCTGATCTTCGACAGTTCTTCACCGATAGTCCTTTTCACAAGCATAGCCAGGACAGGGAAGAATTAAGCCTGATCTTCGACAGATCTTCACCGATAGTCCTTTTCACAAGCATATCCAGGACAGAGATGAATCAAGCCTGATCTTCGACAGATCTTCACCGATATTCCTTTTTCACAAGCATAGCGAAGACAGAGAAGAATCAAGCCTGATCCTGATCTTCGACAGTTCTTCACCGATAGTCCTTTTCACAAGCATAGCCAGGACAGAGATGAATCAAGGCTGATCTTCGACAGTTCTTCACCGATAGTCCTTTTCACAAGCATAGCCAGGACAGGGAAGAATTAAGCCTGATCTTCGACAGATCTTCACCGATAGTCCTTTTCACAAGCATATCCAGGACAGAGATGAATCAAGCCTGATCTTCGACAGATCTTCACCGATATTCGTTTTCACAAGCATAGCTAGGACAGAGAAGAATCAAGCCTGATCTTCGACGGTTCTTCACAGATATTCCTTTTCACAAGCATAGCTAGGACAGAGAAGAATCACGCCTGATCTTCGACAGTTCTTCACCGATATTCTTTTTCACAAGCATAGCCAGGACAGAGAAGAATCAAGCCTTATCTTCGACAGTTCTTCACCGATAGTCCTTTTCATAAGCATAGCCAGGACAGAGAAGAATCAAGCCTGATCTTCGACAGTTCTTCACCGATAGTCCTTTTCATAAGCATAGCCAGGACAGAGAAGAATCACGCCTGATCTTCGACAGTTCTTCACCGATATTCTTTTTCACAAGCATAGCCAGGACAGAGAAGAATCACGCCTTATCTTCGACAGTTCTTCACCGATATTCCTTTTCACAAGCATAGCCAGGACAGAGAAGAATGAAGCCTGATCTTCGACAGTTCTTCACCGATAGTCCTTTTCACAAGCATAGCCAGGACAGGGAAGAATTAAGCCTGATCTTCGACAGATCTTCACCGATAATCCTTTTCACAAGCATAGCCAGGACAGAGAAGAATCAAGCCTGATCTTCGATAGTTCTTCACCGATAGTCCATTTCGCAAGCATAGCCAGGACAGGGAAGAATTAAGCCTGATCTTCGACAGATCTTCACCGATAGTCCTTTTCACAAGCATATCCAGGACAGAGATGAATCAAGCCTGATCTTCGACAGATCTTCACCGATATTCGTTTTCACAAGCATAGCGAAGACAGAGAAGAATCAAGCCTGATCTTCGACAGTTCTTCACCGATAGACATTTTCGCAAGCATAGCCAGGACAGGGAAGAATTAAGCCTGGTCTTCGACAGATCTTCACCGATAGTCCTTTTCACAAAGCATATCCAGGACAGTGATGAATCGCCTGATCTTCGACAGATCTTCACCGATATTCCTTTTCACAAGCATAGCCAGGACAGAGATGAATCAAGGCTGATCTTCGACAGTTCTTCACCGATAGTCCTTTTCACAAGCATAGCCAGGACAGGGAAGAATTAAGCCTGATCTTCGACAGATCTTCACCGATAGTCCTTTTCACAAGCATATCCAGGACAGAGATGAATCAACCCTGATCTTCGACAGATCTTCACCGATATTCGTTTTCACAAGCATAGCGAAGACAGAGAAGAATCAAGCCTGATCTTCGACAGTTCTTCACCGATAGACATTTTCGCAAGCATAGCCAGGACAGGGAAGAATTAAGCCTGATCTTCGACAGATCTTCACCGATAGTCCTTTTCACAAGCATATCCAGGACAGTGATGAATCAAGCCTGATCTTCGACAGATCTTCACCGATACTCCTTTTCACAAGCATAGCCAGGACAGAGATGAATCAAGGCTGATCTTCGACAGTTCTTCACCGATAGTCCTTTTCACAAGCATAGCCAGGACAGGGAAGAATTAAGCCTGATCTTCGACAGATCTTCACCGATAGTCCTTTTCACAAGCATATCCAGGACAGTGATGAATCAAGCCTGATCTTCGACAGATCTTCACCGATATCCTTTTTCACAAGCATAGCCAGGACAGAGATGAATCAAGCTGATCTTCGACAGTTCTTCACCGATAGTCCTTTTCGCAAGCATAGCCAGGACAGGGAAGAATTAAGCCTGATCTTCGACAGATCTTCACCGATAGTCCTTTTCCCAAGCATATCAGGACAGAGAATCAAGCCTGATCTTCGACAGATCTTCACCTGATATTTGCCATAGCGAAGACAGAGAAGAATCAAGCCTGATCTTCGACAGTTCTTCACCGATAGTCCTTTTCACAAGCATAGCCAGGACAGAGAATAATCAAGCCTGATCTTCGACAGATCTTCACCGATAGTCCTTTTCACAAGCATATCCAGGACAGAGATGAATGAAGCCTGATCTTCGGCAGTTCTTCACCGATAGTCCTTTTCACAAGCATAGCCAGGACAGGGAAGAATTAAGCCTGATCTTCGACAGATCTTCACCGATAGTCCTTTTCACAAGCATAGCGAAGACAGAGAAGAATCAAGCCTGATCTTCGACAGTTCTTCACCGATAGTCCTTTTCGCAAGCATAGCCAGGACAGGGAAGAATTAAGCCTGATCTTCGACAGATCTTCACCGATAGTCCTTTTCACAAGCATAGCCAGGACAGAGATGAATCAAGCCTGATCTTCGACACTTCTTCACCGATATTCGTTTTCACAAGCATAGCGAAGACAGAGCTGAATCAATCCTGATCTTCGACAGTTCTTCACCGATAGTCCTTTTCACAAGCATAGCCAGGGAAGAATGAAGCCTGATCTTCGACAGTTCTTTTTTATTCTTGCAGATACTCAAACACTGCGTGGGGATGCATGATTGCTGCGGAGCGGGCTCGCCGGAGACGGACCAACGGAGACGGACCAAAGTGAAAGTGTCATTCGGTGAGAGCATGAAGCAACTGGGCCACGATATCAAACTGGCTAACAGGTTCTAAGAACTGAGCTGCTCTCCGCGCCTATTTTTCTTTAAAATGATTTCTCGAACATTCAGGCCGGTAGACGAAAATAAATAAATATACTGTTTAATTAATAAACGGAGCGTCTACTCAAATATGATTATCCACTAAAAATAACGTTTAAAACGATAAAAATACTTTATTGTTACTTACTTTTCGTAGAGTTTCTGGTAGAAGTGTACAGCTTGATGAATGTCAGCGTTCAGAAGGGTGGTCAGTTCAATTAGGCTTCTCATAATATCCCCTTCATTCTGAGAAACAAAGACAGATCATCGATAAAAAAACTTGTCAGTAACAAGAAAGAGACTATTGAAATCAAAACTACAACAGTTAAAAACATAAAAACAACACAGAACGACGAAGAGTCTCGCATCACAATTCCATACGAGATCCGATAGAAAAAAGTATCTACAGTAGTTAAAAAAAACTACAACACATATCAATGCGCCATTTAACCTCCTTCGAAGTAGCCCACTTCTGTAATTACGTACTTCATCCAGCGTCGTTTCCTTTGATAGAAGCCTTCCTGAAACACCTTTTTTTGGGATAGCCAGTAGCTACCTTTTTGCATTCTCTTGGATCTCATTGACATTTTAAAATTTTATTCCTTTCAAGTCGGATTTGATTTGTGGAAAGAGGAAAAAGTCGAGACCCAGTGGTTGTCGAAACTGTGGAATATTGTTCTTGGCGCCAAACCGTTGCGCAATAGATGTTCACCGGCGGAACCTATGTGGTTGTGATGAGACGACCACACTCTACACACTTTCCCTTCCAAGCACTGATATAAAGAATGGAAATGAGATAGAAACGTTATAACTTAGTGTGCGCGCGCGATAGAGTTCAAGGTCAATCTAGATTTAGGAGAGACAAGAAAAAGACAAATATTATTAAGACAGAAAATTGTGGAGAGCCATGATCGCCAACATCCTGAGGGGACATGTTACATACGATTGGTATCGATTCTAGGAGGTAGCGGGAGGAATGTCTCCAGAGGAACGTATGGTATTGCGTTTGTTTAGCATTTTGCCACGTGCGGGCTAGCCTCTGTAAGCAATCTTGGTGTGGAAAGTGTGTCGATTCTTCAAAATGGTTGCGGTCATCTGCCGACTTCGTGCCGTTTTGAATTTATCTCCAAAGCTTAGGCAAAGGTAATCCATCACTGTCAGGTTTCACACCCACGGGTTTTCTGGTTAGTAATTTGTTGTCTTGGGCCGGCCTCTGTATTCTGTAACACTACGTTTTGGGGGGGATGGAGTCATATATTTGCAGGTGAGAAGTTTTACACATCCTAATGAAAGGCATACAAAAGATCTACACAAATTAGCAAGAATTAATAGTAAGTTAGATTACACTAGTAAATGCGAATACTACTGAATACATGTTAAAACATTACAACATTGATCATTTTTCACTCCAGGCAAGGCAATAAAGTTACTAAGACGCAAGGATGGGGTTACTGAGTGTTAGAGAGTATAAGAAAAAAGAAAACTACCATTAAGTAGAATGGACAATAAAAGAACAAGAATTAACAGAAAATAACAATTGACATTGCATTGAAATTTTTGAAGGTCAAAGTTGACTGGGAAGCCTGATGTCGGAAGAGCGTTCCACTAGCGAGAAATGCAATTGAAGGAATTGTTATCATTTTCTTTTCATTCCCAGGATTCCCTTCCACATTAGTGGCATCATACCCTTACTTGCCCGTTCTGGGTATGACGATAAACTACGTCCGACAGAAAGGCTTCTGATCAGGAACCAGCAATTAATTGCTGGGATTCCCAGGTCCACCCTGACCTAGGGTAGTAGCACCTGTTAGAGTCACAACTATGGGCAAATATTTAAACCCCAAACTGGAGTCAAAACACTATGAAAGTATAAAAATGGGTTTTAATACTGAAAATATTTTTGGAACAAATTATTACCAGCAATACGTTCCTACTAGCAATACATTTTTCAAAAAAGTATTACCAGTTATACATTTTTTGAAAAAAAAAATTACCAGTTATACATTTTTTGAAAAATGTATTACCAGTTATACATTTTTTGAAAAACAGTATTACTGGCAATAGATTTTTGAAGGAAAAAATATTACAAACAATACATTTTTGTAAAAAAAAATATTACCAGCAATAAAAGATTTTGTCGGCGTTAAATAACCCATTGAGGTTGATATGCCGTAAAACAAAACAAAACAAACCAAATCCTTACTTGCGCTGAATTGACAAAAAAAAAAAAAATTGAGATAAAAAGGTTTGTCGGATTGACAGAGCTCACAAAGAATTTAATATAAATGGTCTACAGCAGTACTAATATTTTAGATGTACAAATCAATTTTTGAGTAACTTTGAATACACTTCACTTGTAAGAAGGTTGGTTAACTGCGTCTTGCCAAAAATTTTTTCTCGCCAGAATCCATCTTTATAAATCTACCATTCTTTTGTGCATTGAATATTGATGTCATATCTGGTCTGGTGCTCCGGCTGTATGATTCTAGATTCTCTACAAAATTCAAAGAAAGGTCTGTCATTTTTAGCGGCTCTAATCTGGCATCTCACATTCCCCACTGTCGTGTCATGGCTTTCCTCTGTCTTTTCTGTAAATATTTTTATGGCACCTGTTCTAATGAGCTTTCCTCCTTGGGACATCGACCACGTTAATTTAAGCGTACTACTAGATTGGCAACGTGGTCTCATTGTTCTACTGTTGAAATAGCTAGATGTAACCGCAAGTCCTATTCTAATAGTTTCTTTTCTCGCACTTCTCGCCTCTGGAACTCACTTCCGGTTTCTTGCATCTCTGCGAACTGCAATCATCAAAAATTTAGATGCAACGTCAATTGCCGTCTTCGGTCTTCCTAAACCTATTCTTTCTCCTAACTGAAGTCTTTTCGTTCTCTTTTAGCAGACACGGAAAAGAACACGGAAACTATAAAACCTCCAACAGAAGGTAGCGAAGGAAAGTGAGAAGAAAGGACTAAGTATAATCTATAAGAAAATAGATTGCATTGTTATCAGCAAAATGATGAGTCTAAAATGCAAATTAAAAATCGGGGATACTAAATCAAAAAAGTACAAATATTTAAATATCTAGGAAGTGTTCTAACAAAGGACGGAAATTGCGACACTGAGATTAGAAGACGTATTGGGATGGGCAAAGATGCATTCTAAAAGCTAAGCAGAGTATTAAGAGATAGGAAAATGTCGTTAGAAACAAAGAACAAAGTACTGAACTATTACATGATATTTGTCCTCCTGTATGACAGAGAATGCTGGACAATATCCTCAAAGATGAAGAAGACACTTGAAGCAACAGAAATGTGGTTCTATAGAAAGATTCCGAGGATACCATGTGAGCAATGATGAAGTTTTAGAGAAAAAAAGGAAACTTATATTTAATATCAGAAAGAGTCACTTGAAATTTCTGGGGTATATAATGAAGAAGAGGGCTTAGAAAACCTGTTATCCACGGGACAGATGGAAGGAAAGAAGGACAGACGAAAGCGGTGTGTAACATTCTTGATAAGCTCGGATGGTAGAACAGAGTTTGAGAGAAATAACAAAAGGACAAAATTTATTAAAGACTACAAAGGGCAGGAAAATGTGGAGGACCATGTTCGCTTACGTCCTGAAAGGACATGGCACATAAAAGAAGATTAACTTTTGTCTTAGTGATATTTTCGCCTTCCTTGGAGTGAAATGATTTAAAAGAAATATTTCCATACCTTAGATTTGGATTTAACCCGTTTTGATATACGCTCGTACCACTCGGATGTGCCTTTCTGTAAAGATAAAAAATAAAATATACATATATATATATATATATATATATATATATATATATATATATATATACACAGAGAGAGAGAGAGGTATGTGTGTAGCCAGTTAGTTTCTGACAGATGGCATTAACATAAGAAGTTTTGGCTTTGTCCGCACGCCACGAGACTAATGAAAAGAAATGGAGGAAAAAAAACAGGAAGAGGGTAACCGAAACGAAATCAGATTTTCAGATTTCTTTGCGAGCACATCAAAAATTTATTCTCAAACCATAGCAAGTTATATAAGAGAAGTAAACAAAGCTTTCACTTCCTCCAATGATTGTATGTTCCAACCGATCCAGTGTTGTCAGTTTTTGTTAAGCGAAGTAAACACAGAGATCGTTGTGAATTTGCAATTTATTTATTTATTGAATGGCAAAATGCGAAAGATGCGTCTTGTTCTCTAAAAGAACTTCATCCGACGGAACTTTTCTGTAAATTCGCCCCAAATCATGTAAAGTTATTTATCACAAATATTAATTCACCCCAAGAAATTATAAATTTAAAATCAAAGTTTGTATGTTTCTTATAAAATGTTTGGCACTCTTGAAATTATGAGTTTTAAATCAAAGTACCCAGGTGTAGTCTTTAAAAATGATTTATTCAACTGAGAATACAATGTTCCCGTATAGTGTCCTTTTATAGTCCCAGTAAACAGAAGAGGAGAGTAACAAAACAAGGGGTGAACACTCTTGATTATTCATAGCAGTTTGTTGTTTTTTATTAATTTTTTGGCACTTTTTTGCAATTATAAATATTAAATCAAAATTTGTTTAGCTTGCCTCAGAACAACTCTAACCCTAAGAATGAAAAATTAGCAAAAATCAGCGAGTTATTCACATTTCCTAAGTGTGGATGGTATGCGAGGTACTTACAAGGAATTTTTATAATAAAAAAAATCTGCTTTTGGTTTGTTTATCGAGGTGAGCGCGAACGTCGACCCAACACTTTGAAAAATAAGGCACCTGAGTCACCCACATTTAGGGCGATCGCAAAGGTTAATCCAACCAGAGTGCAATGGGAGAGCTTCGCTCTGGGAGAATTTGATGTGAATTTTAGTAAATGTAAATTCTTTTTATTTCGGGGTGAATTAGAAACGATCCCAATCGATTAAGTCATTCTTATTAATGGAATTATATGTACTAGCAATATCGGTAAAAACGTAATGGCTTTCTTATTTTAATTTTTTGGTGAATTCTTAATTTACTGATTGAATAAGCGCCTTGCGAATTCACTGTCTATATAATACCTATGAAAAATATTAACAACTTTAACAAAGTATTACAAAAACAATCACATCTATAAATGCAGGTCTTTATTTAAAGATGTAAGCGTGTACAAATGAAAAGATTAAAAATTGACAAGCTTTTTTCATTTCATTGTAGCAGACGTAAAACACAGACGAAGCAGACGAGAGTGTTATCATCATCTGTATCTTACATTTCTTTCATCATCGGATTCCTATTATTATAATAATTATTATAATAACGAGTAGAAATATCCATGTGCGTTATATACTTTCCTATTTGAATTTTCGGATTAATAAATTTTCTAAGCTCAAGATTGAATAAGATACTTGTGTGTTCCACGACTCTAAAATACCCGTGGAAATTCCCCCATTGCATCATTAAATATTTGAGCTTAACAACTTTAACAATATATTAAAAAAGAATCATAGATATGAATGCAGCTCATTATTTAAAGACGTAAGTGGGGTTAAATGAAAATAATACAAGGTTTTCCATTTCACTGAAGCAGACGTTAAACACATGAGAGTATTATCACCACTATTTTCTTTTCTTTCTTTCTTTCTTTCTTTCTTTCTTTCTTTCTTTCTGTAATCGCAAACAGCGCTTTTAATATATCTTTGCTTTCGTCTATACTCGCAATCAAACATGTGTGACGGTTACACACCTGGCCCAGTGTCGGATCCTTTGGTTACGGCGCCAACGGTGACGTCGCTCCTCCTGGTCGCTCCTCCTGGGTCCAAAACGTGCCGCTCCAACCCTTTGGTCAGATGATCACCAGCCTCGCCTTTCCCGACTCTCGCCCAATACCTGGTCACTAAAGCAACTATACCGATCTCCGGTCTGTCTACCACGCTGTGTTTAGATCTTTAGACAGACGGGACCAGCAAGGATCGGGGCCGATACAAGTTGAGTCCGACAGGGGTGGCAAAACACAAATAAAATAAAAACTCACGACACCAAAAAAAATTGCTGATAAAAAAAAAGGGTAACAACCTTTTATATCTTAAAGTCCGTTACATAAAAACAAAAGTGTTCTCATTTCCCGACCCGCTCTGTGGGACTATGGCACCAAGCTTCTATCACACAATAGAAAAATGTCGAATTACCTACTTTCTAGAATCATGTATGTATGTCGGAGTGTGGTTCAGTTCGACGCAGGGCTAATTTCTATCGATCATTCAGTTGATTCTTCTCTCCGACTTGAGTTGTATTTCTTCTTCTTCGTCTGCTTGGGCTGGTAGTTTTCCTGTTTCAATTTCTTGGTGGAAGATTTCTTGTTTCAACTTAGCTGAACAACTCTCTGTCGTCTGAGCTGGTCAGGCAATCTTCTTCTTCATCACTGCCGTTCCTTGTCTGGCTGCCGTCGGGGATGAACTCTAACTTCTTCGACTTTCGGCTTGTCTGCAGCTCAATTCTTCCTCAGGCTTTCAGGCAATCTTCTTCTTCATCTACTTGAAGTTCTTCTTGTCTGAGGTTCTTTTTTCTTCCGGGGATGGAACTTCTCATCGACTTTTCGGCTTGTCTGCCCAATTCTTCTCAGGTCTTCTTCTTTTCTGGGCTGGAAGTTCTTCTTGTCTGCTCTCTCCGTCCGGGGATGAACTGATTTTTTTTGTCGATTGGGGCCCTGCTTTTATTGGCCCGCAACAAACTGGGGTGGGTCTGTCGGCGTCAGGGTTTTCTCGATAATTCCAAAAACTGCATTAATTCTGTCTTCTCCATTATCGCTATTGTTTTTCGCCCCTACTTCCTCGCAGTACCTTTGGTGGGGCGGCGCATCCATCTCTCTTAGTCTCTCGTATGTCAGGTGACCGCTTTTCAACCAATCGTTCCTGATCGAGCATTTCTTTCCTTTTCTTCCGCAAGTCACGTGATCGTATTCGACCAATTGTTATTGGTCGAACATTTCTTCCCTTTTCTTCCGCAGGTCCGTGATCGTTTTCGACCAATTGTTATTGATCGAACATCCTCTCCCCCTCTGTTTGCGGGCGTGGTTACATCGTTCTTGTTTAAAAAAAACAAAATCAATTTTTCCTTTTTGCACACGTACGCAAAATGACAATCTTTGGCTTTCTCTCACCTGGACTTTGTCAAACAGCCCGCTGCTAATTAGTCTTGACTTTAGAAAGGATCTTTTCCGCCTTCTTGGCGCCCTCTGTGAGCCAAAAGCAATTGTCCCTCTTTTTTTACCTCTTTGTTTTTCCTGATAGTCGAAAATCTTAATTATCTACATTGAAATGTCTCTACTTTATTAACGTGGGTGTCCAATTCTTAACAGGTCAAGATCTGTATATCGTTCCACCGGTAACTCCCCTCAACCCAAAAAACACTTTTCTCTGATTAAAAATTTCATTTCTATTGTTCTAAACCAAATTGATAAGGAGTCTCTCCACCAAAAAAAGTCGGTCAGATGCTTTGACGATATCTGGTCTACATCAGCGGCCCGTTTTGATATCATGTCTTTTTCCCTTTTCTTTCTTCTTATTATTTATAATTCTATTCTTCCAATTGTCTTTCGAAAATCGGCCAAGACGCTGACCTAAATCTCTTTCTGACTCCTATCTCCACCCTCAATTGGGTCATGCATCATACAACTCTTTTTCTCTCTTCTTCTTTCTTTTCTTTTTTTTCTTTTCTTTCCTTCTTCTTCCCTTAAGATCGTCTAGTACAATCTTAGTGAATTATTTTCAACTCAGTTATTTTCCGTTTTAAAAAAAAATCAACAACCTGTTTAGTAACCGAGTAAGAAAAAAAAAATTAAATCATATTTCTATGAATATTTCTAATAATGCAAGGTGCCACAATCCTCCCTAACCGATTTGTCATTTACCCGTAAATGACACCAAAAACAATTACATCATTTAACATGCACCATGCATTTGTCTCATGCAATTCTATTCTACTTTCTAACATGCAAGGGTAATGTTCTTTTCCATTTTCTTTTGTTCTACATGCAATGAAATGTTCTTTTCATTTTTTTTTTGTTCTACATGCAATGAAATGTTCTTTTCATTTTCTTTTTGTTCTACAGGCAATGTAATGTTCTTTTCATTTTCTTCTGTTCTACATGCAATGAAATGTTCTTTTCATTTTCTTCTGTTCTACATGCAATGAAATGTTCTTTTCATTTTCTTTTGTTCTACATGCAATGTAATGTTCTTTTCATTTTCTTCTGTTCTACATGCAATGAAATGTTCTTTTCATTTTCTTTTTGTTCTACATGCAATGAAATGTTCTTTTCATTTTCTTTTGTTCTACATGCAATGAAATGTTCTTTTCATTTTTTTTTTCTTTTGTTCTACATGCAATGAAATGTTCTTTTCTTTGTTTTTTACATGCGGGAGGTTTGTTGCGTGTGTTTCCATTGGTCTTTTAGTCCTGTCTGAGTAAGGAACACTGCGGCATGTTGTTCACTAGGGTTCGCTAATCTTTGTTCTTCCATATTATTTGGCTATAACTAGGAATGTACCCATTTTCCTCTCTGCCGTGGGAGGTTTTCCTTGTAGTCCATATGGTGGTGGGTTCATTAATACTGGCATCTTATTTAAGGTAACATTGGTCTTTCAGCAATTTCTTCCCATAAGTCCTGTTCGAGTAAGGAACTTTTTTCTTCGGCTTTCTTCCCTCTCGATGGTTGTTCCATGGGCTGACACTAGACTGTTATTCTTAATGTCCTTGTACTCTCCCCTTACCCTAGACAGGCTGATATGTTTCTGGGTGGCTACTGCCTTAATCGTCTGAAACACTGATATATTGGCAGATTATTAATATGCATATTCTGCGGTTCCCGATACAAGCAGGGTATCATCTCTACACCTTCTAGCTTCTTACCTGATAGCAACATAAA